CGAAGTGAAATTAGTTAATAAGAAAATGCTGGCCAGAAGCTCTCTGGGCTTTTAAGTGCTCTGCAGGCCATTTAAGGAAATTGAATAAGAACAGACTCAGTTACCTGCGGACCCGAGTATTGTCTCCGGTCTACACAGAGGCGAGAAGGGAAGGATTGTGCCTGGGAGACCCAAAGGTCTGCAACCCGCCTGCTAGGGCAGGTCCTAAAAAGAAAGTCCCCTTTCTGCGCACAATAGACTGTTTTTTTTTGTTTAAAGCATACCAGACTCTAGTATTTACCACAAGGGGTTAAGCAAAGGTAAGAGGCCATTAGCAGATGCTTAAGGCTTCCAGGGCAGGTCTGAAAGGCAGGCTCTTTACCGCGCTGGAAAAACTGGCCCCTTGGTATTATTTTTTCTCTTTCATTTCTATGAGTTTTCCCACCATTGTGGTGCTCTGCTGATTTGTATTCGGAGTGGTGCCAGTAGGTCAGTTTATTGTGTTACCTAACTTCCTATCTGCTGCCTCGCTTGCTCGCTTTAAACTTTCTAGCCTTTTTGTTTAAGAGGTGATAATAAAACCTTTCCTTTGGCAAGCCGCTCATTAGAAACCCGCCGAACCCTGGAGGGACCTCAGAAAAGTGGTGCCCGGGAGTGAGGAGGTCGGAGAAGGCTTTTGTCCGAGGGCATCACTGCTGTGAGCCGCAGGAAACGCTCCTCTTCGGGGGAGCTCGTGATTCATATCTGTGGTTTGGCCTCTCAGGTGATTTATAATCTGCGAGCGCAATTCACTAATTTTATGCCAATATATTTTATGGGCACGGTTAGGCTTCCCGAGCCCCGCGGAATGAGCGGCTTTTGGGTCGTTTTGGTGTCAATTTAGTCCTTTCACTTCGACGCCCAGGGAGGGCGTTTTCCTGCCTCATAAAGAGGGGCCATTTGCCCACGGATGCCGATGGGAAAGTTCCTCCATCCATTTCCAGGGCCAGACTCCCAGCCCACGTGCGAGATGCGCCCTCACACGGAGCAGCAGCGAGCTCCCGGGCAGCCCCGGCCGGGCCCGATCCCGCCGGCTCGGCCCCCGATCCCGGCCGCAACCTTGATCCCTTCGGTGCCGTTGTGGATCTCAGCCTGTACCGCCCTGCCCCGCACCCTGCCCTTGCCCTTACCCTTACTTGGTGTGCGGTAGTCTCGAGCCAAAACCAAGGGCAGCCCGTGGCTGATCTGCGTTACTCAGGTTCACACGACTCCGCCTCTGTTAGGGCCAGTCCTGGTAGGGCCCCCAGCCCCCGGCGGCCACTTCCACGCGCGAGAAACCAGGGCAGAGCCGCCCAAGGCAAGATCCCTGCCTGGCGGGCTAGGTGCACTGCCCGGGGCAGCTGTGGCTCCTAGGGAGCTGCTCCGCGCAAGCACATTGCCTTGGTGCCCTCAGGCCCGGCACAGCCCCCTCGGCCAGCGGACTGGGTAGGTAGGCAGGCGGGCAGCGCCATCCCGAAGGCTACAGACCAGGGCAGTTTCCATTTTCAAAATCCTCCCTCGTCTTGGCCTCGAGATCCCCGAGCACAGCCTGACCCTTGCTGCCTGGGACGTTTCATCACTGCCTTCACGTGGGAGACACATTGCACGCGGCCAGCTGCCTCCAGACAGTGCAACTTCATTTATTAACTGAGGAATCAAGCTGCATTGAAGATAACCCTTCAGCGTCTTCTTCACCCCATCGTCTCTTCTGACACAAGCCTTAATTATGATTGTATTAATTAGTATTTGTTCAAAACAGTCCCTGCCCGGAAAAAGCCTACAACCTACATCTGCCATGTTCAGAAACGATTTCTCCATTAGCTGCAAGGTAACATTTACAACTGGCAACACCTAAGGTGTCAAAGCCCATAATCTTCCAGCCTGAGTTTTTCTGTCCAGTCAGCTCAGGAAGGATGTTTTTGAAGCCGATAAGAGACATTTAAATATCAAAGTCACTGTGCATGTGCGTATCCTGCCTAAACTTTTATAGTGGGATTGCATAACTGCTTTATTTGCTCTTCATCCCATAGATGCTGCTTTATATCAGTAACAAACAAGCATTGATTTTATGGTAAAGTCACTTTGGGATGGGAATGAGTAACTCCAGGCAGTGCTATCACTGTATTACATGGAAATGGCCCAGGTAACAAGATGAACATTGATTCAGCATTATGTTTGATCAATAATGAAATAAGTAACTTCAGGGCCAAATTAAAATGCAAGCTGGCTTAACGCTGCCAGCTTCTGGGCTAAGTGACAAGGCTAATTCAGCAGGGAAATGGCAATATTTGCATTAGAGGCTGCATCTGTTGTTTGGTAGAAGTGGTTGGATCCGCAGTCATGCCGTATAAAAGAGTTGCGGGGAACCTACTGGAAAGGCTTGTCCAGAAATGAGCGTGGTGCAAATGGTGGTGTCTGTGTCTGGGAATCCGGTGTATTTCCCCCAGATCGGGTTGTGCCCATGCAGGGATGGGAGAGTGTGGGCTGACGCTGCACTCGGGCTTTTGGAGATTACTGAGCTGAGATTCTTCAAGGCAGGATAACAGAAAACCACTGTTCTGTTTCCCAGCTACCCAGATGGTGTTAATATTTAGCAAAGGAAATATGCTTCTAAACCAGTATATGACACAAAGGACCCCTGCCCCTTCATTCTTCTCCCTTTCCCTCTGCCTTCCCTTCCTCCCACCCCCTGAACAAAAAGGGCTACAAGGTAAAGGATAGGGTTGGAAAGTGAGCCCCGCAAGGGAAGTGATTTAGGAGATGAGTGGTAGCGCAACCAAAGCCCCCTGTATTGGTGGCCTTTGCCCCAGTTTATCTTGCTGTTTTCTCCATGGCTAGTTTTTACAGCTCTGCCATCATTATTGAAACCGTGACACACATTGATTTCCAATACAGATTCTCGCCTTCAACCAGGTAGCGCAGACACTGGGACATGGACCGAGTTACCAAGTGTAAAGCCTCAGCTAGGGAGAGGCCAGAGGGAGAAGGAGAAATGCAGTCAATGGCCAGAATTTTAGGTGGGAGGTGGGATTCGGGTGTCATTGCAGGGTCCACCGCAGGCTGAGACCTGGGTGGGAGATCAGCAACTTCCCCAGTCTTGGCAATAAGGAGATATTATCATTCCTAAAGCAATGAGCATAGGAGGGACTATTTAGGCAGCCTGAGCTGTGCCTGTCTGTGTTGGGGCGGAAGAGGCTGTGTGGAGTCAGAGAAAGATAAGACAGGGCTGTTTGCGTGTCAGAAAAATGAGATCTCGACCCAACTAGGGAGGCAAAACAGCGCGTCAACATTGCTTCTCTCCCACCCACCAACACTTCCCCCAGGTTCATGCCATGGGAATAATCTGGGACGTAACTGGTCGCTTAATCACTTTGGATGATTAAAGAGCAGCGCTCCACACTGCCGAGACCCTGGAGCACCAAGAAGTCAAGTGCACCATACATCTGATCTTTACAGGGATGCTCCTAAAATCGGAGAGATCTTTCTTTGGGAAACCAGCCAACCCAACCCAGCTTGCTTCAGCTTCACCCTTTCACCAGGTTTACCTCTTCTCGGTTCCAGATGCTCTTGACACCACTGGGGGAGGTCTGGCTCCTGTAGGCTGAGTTCTGGGTCTCTTATCCACGCCTCATTTTGGAACTACTAGTGCAAAGGCAGGATTTGTGATCAGTGCTGAAACTCGACCCTTAAATAGACTCTACTGTGCTGCAGTTGCCATAGGAAGAAATGATTGATGTGGGGGATGAAAGATTTGCTTAAGGAGTCCTCAGTCATAGGAAAAATGGAGTGCAAATCACCTTCAGAAAATGAACTGGCCTGGTTTTAAACAAATAAAGACATGTGGCTGCAACCCCCTCCACACCATGGAACTCAAATGCCAGTGAAAGGGGCATAGACTAGAGAGGTGCAGTCACCTCTGCTTGTATTGCTGCTCACCTCGGCCTGTTGTGTAGTTACTAGTTAGGGCCTCTCCTGACTGTGGGAGAAAGGGCCTTGTGTGGGTAGGATGTGAAAAATAATCACTTACAGGACCCTACACTAATCTGACTCCTTCCTCAGACAGCCAAACCTGTCCTGGACTTCAAGGAACTCAGGCAGGCTGAGGCCTTGCTCATCCAGGCTCTCCTATCACCTGAAAAACCAAGCAGGATCCCAGGGTCTCAGTGCTCTCCATAAACATGAAAATTCCCACTGAGGACAGCAGGAGAGGGCCCATGAAATAGCATAGTGCTGTGCTGGGGTGGGGATCTAAGGATGGGGCATCTGGAGAACTGAAGCTTCCCTTAATAATGAGGAAAAGGGAGGCATAAGGGGAATGCCAGAGCTTGCTGAGGCTCGGCAGAGAGAGCAGAGAGCAGCTCCGGGGGTTGGGCCGCTGGGGCTGGTTTCTGAGAGCTACCCAGGAGTGTGGCTGTGGCTCTCATCAGGGAGGCTATTCGGTCCGGAGGAGGGGGGAGAATCCATTGCCTCTCTAGGGGCTTCAGGCCTTGCAGAGGACTCTGGAGAGCGCAGGTCAGAGTGCTGCCTTTGCTCCTTCTCCGTCCTGAGCACGAGGTTCCCAAGACGAGGGGACAGAGAGGTGGCTGCGGTTCAGCCCTGGTCAGTTCTAGCACCTTTCAGGCGTCCGGGCTGGTGCCATTGCCCCGTACTGCCCTTGCGGCCCGCAGCACTTCCCGCGGGGCCGGTTTGGTCCGCGCCCCCCGCCCGTGCACGCGTCCCCCGAGGCCGCTGCTGCTCCGGCGGCCCCGCGGCGTGTTCAGAGCCCCCCTGCGCGGGCTCGGCACGGCTCCTCCGCCGCCTTTCCTTCCTTAAACAGGTCAAACGCGATCGTTCAGCGCTATTGATCACATCAAAGGCTTGCGACAGGGAGCCGCTCAGCGTCCGGGCTGGGCCCCGGGCAGCTCGCCTTGCAGCTGGGGGCAGAGGCAGGCCAAAGCCGGGGGGAGGATGGAGGCAGGGCCTGCAGGAGAGGCAGCGAGCTGGGGGCCGATCCGAGCTCCCCG